CCCCAAAACCCCAAAACCCCAAAACCCCAAAACCCCTTAAAGTTTTAGTGTGGTTGAAAATTGAAATAGCTTAATTATTGATTCTTGTGTAATTTTAAAAGTGTTGATTTAAAATTAAGCTTTATACGAAACTAATGGAGGAGAAAGATTTGGTATTGTGAAAGAGATGTAAAATATTCAAGCCATCAAACAACATATGATATTCAGAAACAGTAAATTCTAGATATGGCCGTCACTACTCTCAAACAAAACGCTACAAATGAACTACAATATCGTCGGTATGTGGAATGAATTACGATCAAGATGAGAAAAAACTAGAAATTGAGATTAAGCATGTACTAAACTTAGAAAAGTTGAGAAGAGAAGTTGGAAAAGAAGGAATCTCAATCCTTAAGAAGTTTGTAGAATGCCCAATCTGCTTACAAATTCCGAACCTTGAAAGAGCTGTAAAAATATGCTGTTGAAATAAGATCTGGTGCCTTGATTGAATTCTCGAAAGTATGAAAAACAACCCATTATGCCCTCTTTGAAGAGGAGAAATATCTACTGAATTTTTCTCAAAAGTAGAGATGGCAAATTTCATTGTTGAAGCTTTCCAAAGTGAACCTGGTGAAGTCTGAAGCCTTAAATGAAAAGACCATAGCAAGCAACTAACCTGCTTTTGTAATCACTGAGATTGATTTATTTGACTTAGATGAATCATTGAGCAACATAATGGACATGATATAATCGAGATCGAGGCCAAATATCCAATCGTGACCAAGAAAATACAAGAAGAAGCTCAAAGCTTGAAAAGAAACCTTGGAATTGCTGATGATCTTCATAATGACATCTTCGATAAATGAGAAAAAGAGAAAGAGTTGTTGATATCTGGACTAGAGCCTTTATTGTCTTTGATAACAGAAAAATTTCAAAATTACCATCAAAAGTCATGGGGATGGTTTATACATTACATTCCAAGCTTAGATAGAATCAAAGAGTACCAAAATACTAAGAGTAAGCCTAATAAAGACCTGGTAGCTCAGGGTTTAATGAGCAATGTCTTAAGACTGTACAGTAGTCAGAAAGAATTAGAGAAACTGAACATGGCACTTAGTGAATATCAGGAGAACTTCAAACTGTTGTCAGAGAGCTCTCCATTTGACGTTGAAAAATATTCATTTGAATTTAAAATGGATAAACCTATAGAAAACATTACAGTTGATGAAGCTTGTAAAGGAATTTCCTGAACATTTTGAATTGAAGAAGAAACAGTTACAATTAAAATCCAGGAAACCAAGATCAAGGAAGAAGCTAAAGTAAATCAAGAAGAAAATAAAGAGCACCAAGACAATGAAATAACAAAGAGTAATGAAAACATGGATAAACATAATCAAGAGCAGAGCAAGGAGCAGAAAGAAGAAGATAATGAAGAAAGCGAACAAGAAATAGAAAATGAAGCAGAACAAGACGAAGATGAATTAGAAAACGAATATGTAACTACTGAAGAATCAGAAAGTGCAGAAAATGAAATACATGATGAAATTCAAGATGGAATCAAACAGCAATTAGAAGACCAAATAGTAGAAGTGAAGGAAGAAAAGGAAGAAAAGGAAGAAAAGGAAGAAAAGGAACTAAAATTAAAAGAAGAGCTGAAAGAAGAAGCTCAGAATAAGGAAGAAGAAATAATAAAAATAAATCAAGATACTAATCAAAATATCCATATACCAATGCATTACCTTCTCTTCCAAGGAAATGAGTTTGATTTATTTGGAACTCTAAAAGACCCAATCACCGCGCATACCTTCCTCGGCCCCATATCTCTCTCAGCCCCTCTCTGCCTTCCCTTGGCCTCCGTGCTCCCCGATCCCTTACCTTCATCCTTCACCATCAAAATCCTTTTGTACGAATACTCAGCTGAACTAGGAAGTTACCTATCTTCTTCATTGAACGGAGTGGCAGAGTCAATGCAGGAATGACTGAAGAAGACGACAGAGAAATTGGAAATGCTTGATAAAGTTCATTTTAGTGTATAATAATGGGGATAAAAGGGTTTCAATATTTTAGAAGGTGTCTGGGGTTTTGGGGTTTTGGGGTTTTGGGGTTTTGGGG